GGCAGGAAGACCAGGGGATCAAGGTCAACCTCAGCTACATAGGGAGTTCAAGGGCGACCTTGTCTTAAAAGCGATTGCACCCATACTGTAAGTTACAGATTTTTCTCTTGTCATTATTGGTGTTCTACACATAACAAAGCATGCCAGCTCTTTGCAGGACAATTACATTGCACTAGGAATTTGAAGTCATCTAGAGGTGATTTAAAAATATACATGAGGCTTCGCATGGGGTATTTGCAAACCTAAGTCATTTTGCACAAGTGATCTGAGCATCCAAGACTAGTGAGGAGCAGAGGATGCCCCAGAACCAGTATCTTAACATCACTGGAGCAACCATTCCACCCATTCACTTTCCATGATAAACTGTGCTGTAACGATCAGGTTATCCGTCATTTTAGTTCATGCTAATTTTTTCTACCTTGTGTGTATGTTGAAATCACAAAACACCCCTCCCCCATGATAAAGGAAATCCAGTGGAGAGAGAGAGAGAGAATCAAATAATGTTGGTCTCTGGTCCGTGCTTTCTCAGAAGTTGCTCCAGGCATCTGCACCACCTTCATTATCTAGGGCTGAAAGGCATGTCATCTGACTCCCCTGGCACCTCCTGCACACCTGCAGTGAGAACCCTGATCTTGCATGCTAGCATTCCCATCCCAATGCCCGGCAGTGAGATGGTAAACTAAATTTTGGCAAACCAAAAGATTTGCTCTGTCCTTACCCAGGAGCTACAGACACACCCAACTTGGCAGCACCTTTGTTTTGGTGGCATAGTTAAGGAGTCTGTTACCCTTCCGTGGTTAAACAGTTACACCTCTACAAATAAATGTAAGTCACATCTTGAAATATGGTCTGAGCCACAAGCGGTTCCCGAGTCTAGCACTGAGGTCGAGGCAGGAGAATTAAATAAAACAAGACCAGCCTGGGCTTCATTGTGAGTTCCAGGTCAGCCAACTTGGACTACAGACTGAGACCCTGTCATTCTCTTAGTCCCCAAAGCCAAGATCTTGTTTCTGATTGCTAAAGGCAATGCTGTCACGGCATGCACCTTAACAACAGCTTATCTGGAAGCACTGCAGCTGTGTTTTCCAAGTATTTGCTTGAAACCAACCTGTAGCCAGAAAGATCTTTGTAGTCAGCCGCGGCCTCAATGATAACGACATGAGGTGCGGCATCTCTAGCTCTTGTGTGATGCCTTGGACTGGTGACCTATTGGGCTTATCGTCGGAGTCTTTAAAGTTCTGCATGTTAGATAAGCCCCCACCAGCCAGGTTCAGTACCGTATGCCTGTAATCCCAGCACTCAGGTAGGCAGAGGCAGGCAGATCGCTGTGAGTTCAAGGCCAGCCTGCTCTACAAAGTAAGTTCAGGACAGCCAGGGCTACACAGAGAAACCCTGACTCAAGAAACAAAACAATAACAACAACAACAACAACAAAAGATAAGCTCCTATCCACACTGAGGCAAGAATTTAAAATAATGCTCTGGGCTCTGCAAACTAGGTAACAACTTGTTCTGTTGTTAATTAGGTAAAAGGAATAGAGAGTAAAATGATTGGCCCCCAGAGGAAGGTTTTCTCTAGAGGACCCCATTGGAAGACGTCTGAGTTGTGGGAGAATCGTTGTTTTAGTTAAAGACAAGCTTTGAAAATGTCTTCTTTCTTCCCCCCACCCCCACCTTGCAACATGATTATCACTATTGAAACATAGACTAAAAGCATCATTTCTGAACCATCAGTCAGTCAGCCTGGGATGAAGTCACGCAGAGAAAACGGGGATGTCAAGGTCCTGTACTTTCTCCGTTTAATTCAAAGTGAAAAGCAAATCCCTAAATTAAGGAGGAATCCCTGAGTTACTTGACTTACTTCCATAACAAAACGAACTGCAGAACCAATCCTGGTGGAACATGCCTACCATCCCAGCAGCACTCAGGAGGCAAGAGTATCAAGAGTTCTAGGCTGGCCTGGGCTACTCATGAAGAAAGACGTGGCCACAAAGTGAAACCAAACCTCAAAGCGAACTATATAAAAAGTGTCCTTGCAAAGAGAAGCCCCAGAACTCATCCAAGTTTACCTGGTTCTGTCAGCCCTTTCAGCTTGGATAACTTGACCCCCCACCCTTGATGTAACACTGTTAAGATTTCAGTCAATCCTCTCCCCGACGAGCTGCTGGTACCCTTTTTGCTATTACTTAACTATGCTAATCTGATGTTTCTGTATGAACCAAGTTCTTCCCTGAGTAAAGAATAATGATTAATTGGGGATGAAAAACAAGTCCCAGAACAATTATGAAAGCATAATGAAGAGTGTGTCAGTACCTGCAGCTCAGCAGAGGGAAGGAGATACGTAGGAAGCCAGAAATCTTCCACCAGTTGCCCTGTCTTGCCTGGAGGTGCTCCTGCGCTTGATCTCTTTGTGTGCTTCTGGGTAACAGGATTAAGCCCAAACTGTTTTGCTTTTGCACAACATCCAGGTTTTCCAGGTGAGCGGGTGGGGCTGGCAGCAGCTCAGAGTCCTGTGCTTTCTATATTGCTTCTTTTTTTTTCCCTCTGGGTTTTGCAGGGTCAGGTGAACTCTATCTTGTCCTTCCTCTAAGGAAAGGCCAGAGGTGCGGCTGACAGGCCTTCCTGGTCTCCGTTGATTGCTTTTCATTTCTTTCCTTCCTTTTTTTTTTTTTTTTTTTTTTTTTTTTTTGCAGTGCTGGGGATTGAAGTGAAGGCCTCCGTGTACAAGGCGTGTGCTAGACCAATGCTCTGCCATTGAGCTGTATCTCCAACCCCAGTTTAGAAACCTTTAAACTATGTTTTATTATGCTCTAACTTTTCCAGCTCTCTTTTTTTTTTTTTTTTTAAATCTTTATTTTTATTTCTATTTTGAGATAAGTTCTCATTAAGTCACCCAGGCTGGCCTTGAGAACATGACTTCTTCCCCAATTTAGTCTCCAAAGTGCTGAGATAACAAGACCTTATTAGACTCTAAGTCTTCTGTTGTTTCAAATTAACAGTAATAAACAATGATCTCTGTATTTAGGGGCTGTGCTCTGTGTAGTTTAATAACTGTGTGTGTGTGTGTGTGTGTGTGTGTGTGTGTGTATGTGTGTATGTGTGTGTGTGTTGTACTAAGCAGTGAACCCATGGCCTTATGAGTACTATATCATTGCTTTACAACTGAGCTCTATGTCCAGGCCTCATAAAGAAGTCTTGAGTATTGCTCGCCACATAAGGGTTCTGTATGCAGCAGAGAAAATGTCTTTAAGACAGCCCCAGGGAAGGGTAGACTTGTCTAGCCTGATTAATTGGCTAGTTCAAGAGTAATTGCTTCCAAAGTGAGGACTGAGGGCACGGTTGCTAAGGCTTCAAGTATCAACTTTGTCCTTGACTGTAGGAAAAGGCAGGTAGGGAAGGCCGAGGCACCCAGTCTCAACAGCAGAATGCTCACAGTGCCCATGCTGGACAAGCAGGCTAGCCTGCAGCCTGTTCAGTAGACAGAACTGGGAACAGACATCCTCTAATCTGATAGCCGGCTTTGTAAAACATTCTCCAGTAGGGACTTGTAATCTGGGACCCCAGAGCTGTTGTTTTGAATATGTAAACAACACCCCTGGCTGTAATGGACTGAATTCAGAAGCATTATGAGAATTCTTATTTTGGTCAGTCTCTGTACTTCTTAGTACAGTAATGTCATTAATGTCTATCCCCCCAATCTTTAACCTCCATGTTACTGGCCATTTGGAAAGGCCAATGTAAACAGTTGTAGCTGCCCTAATTAAGTTATGTATCTGTATACTGAATGCATTGTCAGGCCGCAACTATTTCATATTCATTCTAAGCCACAAGGCTTTGCCAAAATGAAATTACTGATGCCAAAATTACTCTGTTGTTTAGACACAGCAGACGTAATAACCTAATATTTAACAGTGTTATTTTTGGAAAAAGGATGAAGCCAGAGATTGAACTGTCCTTTGCCCTACACCAAAGAAGATACTGGGCAGAGAATGAGCTCCCTTACAGCATGGCTGCACTTTCTTTCACTACTAACCTAAAGACCCAGGGGAGGGTTCCTCAGAACATTTGTTTGAGGCAGGTGCAGGGATTGTTTAGTAAGGAGGAAAGAAAAATAACGTATAAGCAGGAAAAAACAAAACATGTAAATAATAGAAGCTGGAGGAATGAAACTCCAGTTCAGGACAAGGCTGGGCATTGGGCTGGAGTCTGGGTGCTTTGAACCTCAAGTTCCTTTGTAGAAAGGGATCGGCACTCGGTGCTAGTGTATCAGTGGAGACCTTCCAGAAGGGAGACTGAAGGACATTCTTTCTTCACAGGCGGGAATGAAAGCTCATTTCCCACTGCGAGTCAATACACAGGGTACAGACTCTCACTTGTGAAGGGCAGACTGACTAGTGAAGGAAAACGAAAAGGCAATCAGCAAACAAGAGGGTGCTTAAAGCCGAATGTAATGTAGTTTGTGGCAAGTTGGGTATGGGTATGCACACCCTCTTGGGAGGTAGAGGCAGGAGGGTCAGGAGTTCAAAGCTAGCTTCAGCTACCTAGTGAGTTCCAAGCCAGTCTGGTTTGCTTGAGACCCTGTTTTGTTTTGTGTTGAATATAAGGTCATGGAAAAGTGGAAGGATGGAGATGCGGGAGCATTTGAGTGGTCTCAGGATGGTTAAGCCCTTAATGCTCTTTAGAAGCTGATTGGAATGTCGTTGCGGCCAGGATTCAAGCCTTTCTGTGAAGCCTCAGGTCTCATCCAAATCAGAGAATTCGAGGGTACAGCCCTCTACCTGCTCATTACATCCCAACATCCTCCAACACCAGAGCAGACGCCTCCTGAGTAAGAGGAGAGGGGTTCTTGTCAAGGCCCCCCCTTCCCCCCCTGGCCGTGTCAGATCCCCTAGGACCGGAACTCCTCCCCCTGGGAGCTCTTGTTTTGGAAACTGGTGGGGTGGGGCCAGAAAACATTACAATGGAGCTGGGAAGGAGGAGGTGTGCTTTTATTTCAGATTGTGTCATCCGAGTAGAGTCTCCCGAAGCAGCACTTCACAGAACTGAGGCTGTTGTTAGATCCCCTGGGCTGTTGACCTGGCACACGGGCGAGAGTTGGCTGCTGAGCAGGCGACAGAGGCAGTAGAGGAGGGCAGGAAACGGCACGCCGAGACCGGCTCATCCCTCCAACTTTGGCTTTTGCTGTGCCGACTGTAACAGGAGGGAGAAAGAGCTAGGAGGGGAAGGGACGAAAGCAGAGGTGAGAAACTCAACTGGACAACGGGGGTAGCAGCAGCGCGGAGTACAAAAGCCAGCAGATGCGAACCGGGAGGCCAGAGGAGGAGGAGGAAAAGGCAGGGCTTGAGCAACCTGCTGCTGGGATTTAGACAAAGGAGGTCTGAGAGGCGCGGGATCAGATTCTAATATCTGCTGCGGGAGAGAGAGAGAGAGAGAGAGAGAGAGAGAGAGAGAGAGAGAGAGAGAGCGAGCCTTGCTGCTGGAGGGCTCGGGGAGATGAAGCGGCCGGAACTCGCCGTGCCTGGAGCCTGTACCGCAGCGAGAGCTCCCAGGAAAAAGTGAGTGTGGGGAGCGATTTGCAGGGCTTGATGGACTCTTGATTTCTCGCCCCTCTTGGAGGCATGCCGCCTTCCGTGCGTTACCTCTTCATAGTCTCTGCGACTACTGTCATCGTTTTTATTGTGCTGTACGTGTTAAGTTTTGGGGGAGACCAAAGCTACCAGAAGCTGAACGTCTCGGACTCCTTGATGCTGACTCAGGTGTGCGCGTCCTTTATCAACGCGAAAACCCCTTTCCTGTGGAGAAAAAAACTAATGATTCACGAGGAGCCTTCTTGCACAGAATATGTGACCCAAAGCCACTATATTACCGCCCCTTTATCTCAGGAAGAGGTCGAATTTCCTCTGGCGTATGTCATGGTCATCCATCATAATTTTGACACCTTCGCGAGGCTCTTCAGGGCTATCTTCATGCCTCAGAATATCTACTGTGTTCACGTGGACGAAAAGGCGACAGCTGAATTCAAAGGTGCGGTGGAGCAGTTGCTAAACTGTTTCCCCAATGCCTTCCTGGCCTCTAAGATGGAGCCGGTGGTCTACGGTGGAATCTCCCGGCTCCAGGCTGACCTGAACTGCATCAAGGATCTGTCCACCTCCGAGGTCCCCTGGAAATACGCCATCAACACCTGCGGCCAGGACTTCCCCCTGAAAACCAACAAGGAAATAGTTCAGTACCTGAAAGGCCTTAAGGGGAAGAATCTGACCCCAGGGGTCCTGCCTCCGGCTCATGCGATTGGAAGGACCAAGTATGTCCACCGAGAGCACCTGAGCAAAGAGCTTTCCTACGTGATCAGAACGGCCACACTGAAGCCTCCCCCTCCCCACAATCTCACCATTTATTTTGGCTCTGCCTACGTGGCTCTGTCGAGAGAGTTTACCAACTTTGTTCTCCATGACCCACGGGCGGTTGATTTGCTCCATTGGTCCAAAGATACTTTCAGCCCCGATGAGCACTTCTGGGTGACGCTCAATAGGATTCCAGGTATGTGAGAGTCCACGCTTTATGCAAAGGAGATGCCCAAAGGCCTCTTTACCCACAGGTGCCACATTTCAGGGTTCAACCCATCTTAGATGGAAAAATATTCACAAGGGGGGGGGGAGCAACAGTGTACCTGTGTTGAGTGTGTGAAAGTAAACAAGTAAACGTTCTTGTTACGAATCCTTAAGCAATGCAGTTTAACAGTTATCACCGGCATGTACACTGATAATTAGATGTTACAAGTCATGCGGAGAAATACACAGGAGGGTGTGTATAGGTTATGTGAAAATGTTGCCCCATTTGATATAAAGGACTTATTCATCTACAAGCTTTCATCACCCAAAGGGAGCCTGGAACGAGTTCCCTAGGGATGCTGAAGGCTTGTGTTTAAAGGACCTGTGGAGTGCCCGTGATGCCCTTTGTAGGACCACTCCCATGCAGTGCCTTTCCGTGTACCACCGGCAGCTTACGGCTGTCACAGTCATCTCTCAGAACTGGGTTTTGTTCATTCTAGAGGTTTTTCCTCCTCTTAGCCCAAGGTCCTTGCCTGGGCCACCCTCCTGCCTATGCCTAGAAGCATGCAGCTTCCTTCTCACCTGCCAGACCTCAGCTCTCAGAGGAGGGCCACTCTGACAAACCCCTCTCCACTGCCTGCCCCTTCCCAACCAACAGCCACCTGCCAGCACACTGCCCAGTTTCCCAGGCAAAGAGTCACCGTGTAGAATGATCATATGCACCGATCTGTGTGGATTTGTCGTTGGTCTTTTCTGTGGGAGTTGAGGCAATGAAGTTGATGCTGCTATATCCTCTGGTTGGCTGCTATATCCTCAGTGAGCAGATAACTTACTAGATGTTCAGTGGGTTTGTGTTAGATGAAAGAGGGTGAAAAAGCAAGTGATGAGTGAACAAATGGCAAAACATGGGGCTTTGCTATGTATGGGGCCACAGCTATGGAAAACTCAGAATACTGAAGTATTTGAACTCATGCAAGACTCATTACACTATGATATATATATACACATATATGTATATATACACATTTTGGGGCTGGAGAGGTGGCTCAGCAGTTAAGACCACATACAGCCGAGATACAGACACACACACATACACACATTTTTGGGGCTGGAAAGATGGCTCAGGGGTTAAGAGCACTGGCTGCTCTTCCAAAGGTCCTGAGTTCAATTCCCAGCACCCAAATGGTGGCTCACAACCGTATATAATGAGATCTGGTACTCTCTTCTGGCATGCAAACATACATGCTAGCAAAACACTTTAAAAATCTTAAAAAACAAAACAAAAACCACACACACTGTTCTTCCAGAGGACCAGAGTTCAATTCTCAGCACCCACATAGGCTCTCTTAAACTATCTGCAACTCCAATTTCAGACTCGGACTCTGGCCTCCACAGCCTCCTGCACTCACTTGCAAATACTTGTACAACAGACATAAACACATACACATAATGTAAAATATAAATTTTATAAAACACCTTTACTTCATACAAATAATGATATTCTAAGACAAATCCCTTCTTCCTCATCAAAGTGTCTTTGCCTTTAAAGATTTAATTTATCCATTTATGTATTTATGTATGTATGTATGTATTTATTTATTTATTTGTTTGTTTGTTTGTTTATTTATTTATTTATTATTACAGCATCCTACCTGCACGTATGCCTGTAGGCCAGAAGAGGGCACCAGATCTCATTACAGATGGTTGTGAGCCACCCTGTGGTTGCTGGGAATTGATCTCAGGACCTTTGGAAGAGTAGCCAGTGCTCTTAACTTCTGAGCCATCTTTTCAGCCCGCGTCTTTGCCTTTAATAACGGACTAGATGAGTTATTTTTATCATAGTTTCATTGATTTTGTGTAGGGAGATACAGAGTGTGCCACTGCAGAGATGTGGATGTCAAAAAGTGTCATGTTCTATACCCCAGGAAACCAAGTCTGGTCACTTGTCCTCAAGCCAGCTGGCATTAACAGTTAAGGAAAAAGACTTATTCACTATGGCCACAGTGGGAAGAGGAACGGTAGGGCATCACCAGTTCTCTTTAACTTCTTACGGTCACGTACTGTGACCCGGGGTTTGGTACAGTTTTAGGAAGTTGGTTTTCTTCTTTCACCATGTGGGTTCTGGGAATCAAACTTTAGTCTGTCTTGGCATCAGGTGCCTTGACCTGCTGAGCCATCCCACTGGCCTTGAATCATGCTCCTTAAAACATACATGAAATGCGATAGCATTTCTTTGGAAGGCAGCAGCATGCTGTGGGCTCAGTGAAAAAGACAAAATGGATTGCTAATGAACTAGACAGCACTATTACAGAGAGAGAAAAGCAATCATTGTTCTGCCATTGGGGGAATGCCAAGTTGAGAATGCTGGTAAGTGCTCCGGGGCAGCAGGGCAGGGCTTGCTGGGCAGTAAACACACTCATGTTCTGGAAAATACCAGGGAGTTTGGACTCCGAATCCCCAGGGGAGCTGGCAGAGCCATCTAGCTTAAATACAGCACAGCCTCTCATCTTTTCACCCCTCATCTGCTGTTTCTGTTATTGGCCTGTGATTTGGGGACATTAGGCACTTAGAGGCTGATTTTAATATTTAAATATTTATTCCTTTTCTATTTCTAGTGTTCTCTTAAAATTCATGAGGAGTTTGGAGTCTGGTCATGTGCACCTTGGGTTTGGTACCGAGTGAGATAAGGTCATTATGTAACTCTGCTGAAGTATGGCTTCTGGCGTGTTTGGTTTGTTGTTGTTGTTGTTGTTTTGTTTTGTTTTTTGTTTTTTAGACATAAAGAAAGAGATGGCCAGGCATGACAATACATGCCTGTAACCTGTAATCCCAGCATTCAGGAGATCAAGGATGTGAATCCAGGGACAGCTGGCTTAGCCGTCAGGTTCCTGACTCATAAGCTAGGGAGGGAGAGAGAGGCAGGCAGGCAGGCAGATACAGGATTTGGTTAATAGTTGGTGGTAAATAAATCTGATTATCTCAGCTACAGGTGGTCAGTTTCGTCCTTGTCAAACCAGTGACAAAAAAAAAAAAAAAATCAAGAACAGGAGAACCTGCTTTTCCCCTCAGCCTCCTTCCTCCTTTCTACCAGTCAACAGACAAGATGATAGATGAAGAATGGACAGTATCACCAGGATGGTGACATCATCCCAGGGCATGGATCCTAGAGCAAGAGGCAGGCTCCCTTGAGCCTAAAAATTTGAGGCTAATCTGGGCATCATAACAAGACCCCAACTTAAGTAACTAACTTAGTCCAAGAAAGAAAACTTTCTTTGCCTGGGGACCTGGAGTGTGGCCTGCCAGCTTCTGTCTTCTCGAAGCACCAATGTAGCCTCCAGTAAAGTTTGGAAATCCATTCCAACTAGGAAAGGAGAGGCTCAGGCAGGAGTTCACTTGTTCTTACATGCGCCGTTCTTTGCAGAAGACATGGTACCCAGAGTACCATCAAATCTCCCCCACAGCATAGGTGGCGGTGCTCGGAGCCGTTAGCTTCATTGATGGTGCCCTATCTCCCTGCAGGAGGTGAGGGAGACAGCCTCTCAGCTGAGCAGCTAGCTCCTGGTGGAGGAAGGTGAGGGCAGCCCATGCCAGTGTCTTGTCTGCTCCCGACTCTTCGTGAGACACACTTCAGGATAATAGGAAACTCCCTGGGTTCTGCCTTCTTCCTTTCTTGGACAGTTCTGAGCATCCTGGTTTAGAGAGAAAGGAAATCCTGTTTGCTAGGTGGAGAGCCTTCCCAAATTACAAGTGAACTCGAGAACAAACAGCTAAAAAGCACTCTTCAGCCTTCAGATCAATTTAAAATGTAGTCACGTGCTTGGCTAACTCCAACATTTGACTACGGGGCGGTCTCTGTGATGTAGAATTTGGGGTGTGTATCCTGATTCACTACTCCCAGATGGCTTTTAATCACACCAACTAAGTGTTCAGCACTGTCACCTTTTAAAGGGAGAAGCTCTCTAATGCCAACACTATGTGCATGTCCAAATAGTGTTGTTTCTTCTTCAGAGCCACCACCTGATTGTCTGCTCCCGTTGGAGAGACAGCTGGCCACTTGTATCCTTTCCCCAAAATATTCCCAGGAGAAATATGACTGAGGGGTTTGGTTGCATCTGATAGTGGTGTCGGAAGACAAAGTATGAATCATTTAAGAGGCCAAGAAGAAAAGCTCCTCGTAGAGGCAACCCCTGTCACGTGACGTTATTGCCGCTCTTTTTCTCTTTCCCCACAAGTTGTTTTTCTGTGGAGAGAATTGCCTATGTCTTAGCTTTTATCTCTGCAGTTAGGAACGGTGTCTGGGTGGAGATGGAGCTCGGTGGCATGGCATTTGTCTAGCGCTTGTGATACCCTGGGTTCCGTCTCTAGCACAGAAATACAAACCAGCATGAGGGGTTGCCAAAAGTTAGGCACACTGTGATCTCACCTTCTTAAGAAATTGAGGTTTTTATCTCAGCACCAAGGAGGCAGAGGCAGGTGGATCTCTGTGAGTTCGAGGTCAATCTGGTCTACAAAACTGAGTTGCGGGACAGCCAGGGCTACAAAGAGAAACTTTCTCTCGAGAAACAAAATAAAACAAAATTGAGGAACCTGGATTCATATAAAAATGAACCAATAGAAAACATATGTAGGTTAATTCCTGTACAAAACAGCTATGAGAAAAACAAACAAACAAAACCCGCAAGTACCAGAATAACATCTCTAAAGACAGTGACAACATCCCAGCATGGTGATGTCCTCTTTCCAACACTCTAAAAGACATTAAGAAAGGGGGCAGGAAATTGAGATGCTACTTTAAGGTAAGAGGGCTGGAAGTGTAGCTTAGTGCTGGGACACTTGCCTGGCAGGTAAAGCCTTGAGAAAAAGACAGGGGGAGGAGAAAGGAGAGAGAGGGAATGGGGTTGAGAAGGAGAGGGATGGAGAGAAGGGACAGAAGAGGAGGAAGAGAAGGAGGGGAATAGAGAGAAGGGGGGAGAGGGAGGGTAATAGAAA